GCAGCTGTGCCACTGCTGGTGTAGGCACAGCCCAAAAACCAGTGACGGCCCTGGGTACTGCTGGGAAGCAGCTGCTGCTCTTGGCACTGGGCTTGGCAGTGGTCCCAGGCTTGGCAGGGTAGATGCCATCCATCCCAGGGCAAAGGCAGCCTTGCTCCTGAGCCTGACTCCTCACCCCTTCTGGGCCTTTTTGCAGTAGGGGCCCCGCCGACAGCACAGAGGAGGAGGGTGTAATTCCACATTGCCCCAGTTAAAACCAAACTGGAACCGGATCCCACTGGTTTTTGGGTGGGGTTGGTGCAGTTGTGGTTCTGCAGCAGCGTGGCCACCCAGCCCCATCCTAGTGCCAGGAACTGCCATTTCCCAGTGCTGGGCAGCACCAGAGGGATTTCTTCACAGCGCAAAACCTGCGGGGTTGCTCTGTGGGGCAGTGTCTCCCCGGGCTCTCACAGCACCCAGCACGGAGCTTTGCAGATCCTTGAGTGCAGAGAGAAGGGGCCATCGTGCCCCAGCCCCCCGGCACCTCCGGGGCCCCCGTTCCCTGCAGCCACCCCCATGTCAGCTGTCGGAGCAGCCATGGCGGGCGCGGAGCTTGGCAGGGCCCGTGAATGTCAGCATTGACGTCAGCCAAGCATTCCCTGCGTTCCTGCTGCCACTGCTGCAGGAAATGGGGCTGGGGAGCAGGGACAGCCCGGCTGAGGCCAGCCCCGGACCCCTGCTGTCCCCAGACCCCCGCCCTCCCTGGGGCTCCCCTCCTGCCTGTGGGAGGGGACCGTGGCTCTGGCTGCGGCTCTGGCACTGCACTTGCAGTTTTCAAATACCTGGTATGTCTCTTCCTCCTCCTCCTCCTCTCCTCCTCCTCCTCCTTCTCCTCCTCCTCCTCCTCCTCCTCCTCCCTTGCAGTCTCTGCAGCACTGAGTGATCACCTGCTGCCTCTGAGTCATCAGCTGCGGGTGCCTGTGGCCGGATCCTGCAGTGATGTCGCTGTATCCCTGCGTCCTGCCCACGCTCTGTGTGCCACCCTCAGGATGCAGCACCCCGGCCATCCCCACGGGGGGATGCTGGGCCCTGAGTGCCCCCGCTCAAATTCACACCAGGGTGGTGCAAAGGCAGGCCAGAGGGCTCCTCTCTTAGACTCTTTTTTGTGGTGGGGGCCCTCGGTTGGGAAGTCCTGGTGGGAGTGTAGCCCTTCTCTCTCTGGCTCGCAGGGCTGGCCGGATCCATGCTGGGTGGACATGGCAATGACAGCAGCAGTGACAGCCCAAGGCCACCCATCTTTGGGGGTGAGTGGCAGCACTGGAACCCAAACCAGCTCCTCTCCACCCCAACCCACGCCCCAGGTGATACAGAGATAACATGGTGTGCCTCAAACAGGGAGTCACCATGAGAGCTCCGTGTGCGCCCGTGCCGGTGGTGCCTTGGGAAGGAGAATATCAAAGGGTTTAACGTTTCTTTTGGCTTTTCCATGGCCTTGGGAAGGAGAATATCAAAGGGTTTAACGTTTCTTTTGGCTTTTCCATGGCCACCAGCACTGCAGGTCACCTGAGGAATTTCTGCACCTTTTGTTGTTAATAAAAAAGCCAGTGAATCCTTGTGAGCAGGATTCCAGCAGCTCACGCTGCACAGAGGTGCCAGGGCCTGATAAGGCACCAGGTGCCTTATGATTTGGGACTGGGAGGACACCTCGCTGGGGACAGGAAGGCCGGTCCCCTCCCTCCATCAGGGCCATGAATGCCACACTTGCCAGCCAGCAGCAGCCTGGCACCACGGGTGTCCCTATGGCAGCTCCCCACTGGGGCAGCACCTCCCGTGCCCGGTGCCATCCGTGGCATCAGAGGGGAGTGTCACCACCCCCTGTGCAGCCCGTGCCCGCTGTGTCCAGCCCAGGACAGCTCCAGGGGGGCAGGGTTGGTGCTCAGCCCCCCACTCTGAGGCTGCAGCCGCCTGCTGAAATGCAGATGCAGCGCAATGCTGGATGTGATTAATAATGCAATCAGCGACCTATTTTTCCCGGTCTAACGTGCAATGAATATGAGGGCTGAATCCTGGTGATTGCTGAACGCCTTTCTATCTTTGGGGCCTATTCATGAAAAAAAACCAGCCCTCATCAGAACAGTAATCTGATCCAATTTATTCCTTTCCTGATGTTCATCAAATCTTTTTCCTTTTTATTTTTTTTCTTCCTTTCCTTTCTTCTTTTTTTTCCCCCTCTCTTTGCACATAAAATCCTTAAGTGGGGCAGCAGGAGGAGGAGAAGGAGGGAACCTTAGATCTTCAAAGGGGCAGTGGGAGCAGTGAACTGAGTCCTCACTCTGCCACAGCCCCTTTTCACTGCCCCAGTACCATAAAGAGACCTTAAAAGTGAACGTGTCAGTAATTACCCATCTTGGCAGGGCTGCGGTGCCCAGCCAAAGCAGGGGAAGAGCCTGGCTGCAGATCAGGCTCTGAGATTTGCTGGGTGTTACTGCAGGAACAAGGGGGAGTCCCTGCAGCATGAGGAGCTGCCCTGAGCACTGTGGGCTCGGGGCTACTGCCTGTCCTGGCTTCAGGGTGAGCCTGCTGGGGTGCAGGAGGCTTTTGGGGGGATGTGGTGCTGCTCTCCCACGAGGAGGAGCACTCATGGAGCCCCAGTGCAGCACCACAGCTGTGCATGCACCATGGCAGTGTGTCCACCACCGCGCTCACCGTCACCGCCGCCACGCACCCAACCTTCACCTCCTTCCTCTCTGTCCCCCATGTCCCTGCAGGAAACGGCTACGTGAGTGCCAGGGCCTCTCCGGGTCTCCTCCCCGTGTCCAACGGCAGCAGCCTGGGCAAGATCATCCCGGCCAAGTCGCCGCCGCCGCCGTCGCACGGCGCGCAGCTGGCGGCCAACAGCCGCAAGCCCGACCTGCGCGTCATCACCTCGCAGGGGGGAAAGGGGCTCATGCACCACCTGGTGAGTGCCCACGGGGCTCCGGGAGGGGTGCCAGAGGGCAGGCTGCAGGGGGATGTGGGGGTCTGGTGGTGGGTGCTGGCTGGGGATGTGCTGGAGGGGGGTTATGGGGAGGGAGGTTTGGGTTTCTGACTGCGCTGTCATGTAGCAGGCACCACTGTGAGCTGTGTGTGCCACAGGGATGGTGAAAACCCTGTACCAGGCACCACTCTGAGCTGTGTGTGCTACAGGGATGGTGAAAACCCTGTCCCAAACACCACTCTGAGCAGTTTCTACCCTATAGATGGTACAAACCCTGCAGCAGGCACCACTCTGAGGAGTTTGTGCCCCATGGATGGTACAAACCCTCTCCCAAGCACCACTCTGAGCTGTGTGTGCCCGTGGATGGTACAAACCCTCTCCCAAGCACCACTCAGAGCAGTTTGTGCCCGTGGATGGTGCAAACCCTGTCCCAAGCACCACTCTGAGCTGTTTCTGCCCTATAGATGGTACAAACCCTGTACCAGACACCACTCTGAGCTGTGTGTGCCCGTGGATGGTACAAACCCTCAGCCAAGTACCACTCTGAGCTGTGTGTGCCCGTGGATGGTGCAAACCCTGTACCAGACACCACTCTGAGCTGTGTATGCCCCATGGATGGTACAAATCCTCTCCCAGACACCACTCTGAGCTGTTTGTGCTCCATAGATGGTGCAAACCCTGTACCAGACACCACTCTGAGCTGTGTATGCCCCATGGATGGTACAAATCCTCTCCCAGGCACCACTCAGAGCAGTTTGTGCCCGTGGATGGTACAAACCCTGTCCCAAGCACCACTCTGAGCAGTTTGTGCCCATGGATGGTACAAACCCTGTACAAGGCACCACTCTGAGCTGTGTGTGCCCCATGGATGGTACAAATCCTCTCCCAGGCACCACTCAGAGCAGTTTGTGCCCCGTGGAGGCAGGGTGAGGTGCCAGTGGGCACGGTGCAGCTGGGGTGGGCTGTGTGAGTTAACAGTGCCTCTCGGTTCTCTCCCTGTTCTGCCCTGGACAGACCGAGGACCACCTGGCTCTGGTGAGTTCCCCTCTGGGCGTGCATGGCACACGGGCTGCTTGTCCCCTGGCTCCTGCCCTGGCTTGGCGAGGCGTGGGGCACGCAGAGGGGGTGGACACTGGCTCCCTGTGTGCTGGGAATGTGGCAGGATGTGGGCACCAGCGTTACATCCACTCCTGCTGCAGAAAATAAACCCAGAGAAAAACAGGCTCTTAGGAAAACCCAGTTCCCCATGGGAAACAAGGAGCTGGCATGAGCTGCAAAGGGGCTGTTTCTCCACCAAGGCCAAAATTGCTGTGTTGGTGCCCCTGGGGAGGTCAGCCAGGGTCCCTTTGGGGACTGTGCACTGCCCTGGCCCTGCCCGTGGGGCTGCACTGGAGCCACCACAGCTACAGCACAGGGACAGCTGGCCCACTGCCAGCACATGAGAGACAGGGAGTAAATCAGGCTCTTCCCATGTTAAAGATATTATTTAAAGCCTGTGTAAATCCACTGGCTGGCTAGTGCACTCACTAAACCTCCCTTGTGCACGGGGCAGTTTTCTGTGTTATTTTTATGGCTTTTTTTTTTCCCTCTCCCTGCCAGCAAAGTGAATGCCACCTTGTTTGTGGCAAGGATTCACTCTGCCCTGTTGCTATTCTGGTGCAGGGCAGATGGGTGACAGGTCAGCCCAGCAAGGGAAGGGCAGGAGCTGCTGCGGGATGCAGGTCACGCAGCCAGGGAAAAGCTCTCCAAAAACACAGGAGAAAGCAAATCCCTCTGGCAGCCTGCACTGAGACACTCATGGCCAGGGCAAGGATGGGCCTGAGCTTTGGCAGACAGGAATTCTGCTGCTCTTCGTGTCCCCAAACCCTTCCAGCATCTCCGTGCCTCAGTTTCCCCATGTGTGGAGGGAGAGCAGTCCCTCCTCACCTCCCCATCTGCTCGTTCCTGTTCCCTGTGCCCAGACCATTCCCTGGCTGCATACTGAAGCAGCATTAGGTGGAAATCCACTGGGGTGGCATTAATTAATTGGTCTGAATGAACCTGGTGGGGTTTTGCCTGAAGTGAAAAATGAAAAACGTCCTCGCCCCAGCCAAAGTGGCAGCAGTGAGGTGGAGGCTGATGAGATGTGGGCAGGGTGGCACGGGCACCTTGGCACTGCTGCATCAGGGAGGGGACTGCAGGGTGTTGTCCCTGGTGCAGATGCCCCCCTGCTCTGCTGGCCTTCTCCCCAGATTTGCTCCCTCCATATTGCTCAGCCCACACAGCAGATCCTCTCTCCAAATGGCAGCTCCCACCTCTTCCCAGGCAGCTGTGAGATGAGTCAGAATCCCTCCAGTGCATCCCCACTGCCCTCAGCCCCAGCCCTGCCACCCTGGGTGCTGCTCCCGCAGCTCTGAGCTCTCCTCCCTCACTGGCTTCAGAGAGGTGTCCCCCATTTCTCCCCACTCTCCTGCCACTCCAGGGGCAGCATCCACTGGATCCCTTCCCTGGGAGCATGCTGCATGGTTGTGGTGCCAGCTGGAACAGTTTGTGGGCACCATGTGGGGGGCAGCTTGCACACCTCCTCTCCCTGCATGGATTGTGGTGAAAATCGGGGTGCTTCCCCCAGCCCAGCTGGGGCTGACGTGCCCACACTCCCCTTGTGGTGTTAGGGAGGTTCCTGGGGCTGGCACAGCCTGCCCAGCTGGTGTCCCAGCCCTGTGGCATGGCCACATCATCCCTGTGCCCTCCCAGGAAGGGCACAGAGCCCTGCAGAGAGGGGCAGATGTGGGGGCTGCATCCCCCTGGTCTCGTGCAGGCAGGACAGGGACAGGGCTGTGCCTTCTGGGGTGACATTCCCTGCCATGTCCTTCACCCAGAGCAGTGGGCACGGCCAGCAGGATGTGTGCCAGAACCCCCTCTCCTGCAGCCCCCCCAGCTTTAGCAATTAGAGCCTGGTAATCCCCTTGCCCAGGCCACAGGAGGGCCCTGGGGCTGGGCAGTGTGTGGGTGCAGGGTGAGCAAATCCTGCCCAGCCAGGTGCTCTTACCCTCTGCAGGGCAGGGTTGTAGCCCCCAGCTTTGTCCCAGAGAGTCTCCCTGGCCATGGGGAAGCGTGGCAGAGTCTGTGCCCAGCCCTGCAAGGCCCTGGCAGCCCTCAGCTGCACAGGAAGGCTGCTCCCTGTGCCCCAGCAGCCTCGTGCCAGGCGTGGCTGGAGCTGGGCACTGCCCCAGTCTTCACAGGGTGACGTGTGCTGGGGTGCCTCGGATTAGAGTCAAGCCTCTTGAGGCTGATTTAAATCAGATCAGCACAGACAGCCCAGATTATCTGCCTTGTAAACAGGGCTGAAGCTGACCTGTAGATCTGCCCACATAACTGCCTGCAAAACCAGGGGGGGAGCTTGGTGTGCACCAGTCCAAGGGCAGAATTTTTCCACGGTGGACCTGCTAATACCTAAGTCACCAAAACCTTGTGAGGGCACCAAGCCAGCAGGCTGCTGAGCACTGGGCTTTGAGTTTAGGGATTCCAGAGACCCTTTAAAATCCTGAGGCCAATGCTTAGTGTCCTCAGCTTCCCTCGAGGCAGGGGCTTGCTCTTGGCCACCAGATTGGCAGGGAGCTGTCAGCTCTGTGCTGCCTCAGCCGGTTTTAGTTTGCTTTGGTCCCTTTGTCGCTCCTTGGAAGCTCAGCAAGCCTCACATGCAGCCTCTGGAGAGCAGGGAGGGATTGTCTGAGCCTCCTGCTGATGTTCCCCTCCGTGCACACAGGGGCATGGCTGGTGCTGGTGGGTGAAGCCCAGCCCTGGGCAGGAGGGGGACTCAAGGCCATGACCTGCAGATGAGTGTTGCAAGGTCCACAGTGTCAGTGTGGTTTGTACTTTGCCTTTTTGCAGTGTGGGATGGCCAGAGGATCAATCCTGCCTGTCCCACACCCTCCATGCTCAGCCCCAGTGCATGCCCAGGGGGTCTGGGGGGGTCACAACCCCTGAAGATGACCAAGTGTGACCATCTGGGCTTTAACTCCCTCCCTGTTTGCTCCCACAGCAGAACACACAGCGGCTGGGTGTCTCCCAAGCAACTCACTCTCTGACCACACCAGTTGTTTCTGTGGCCACTCCGAGTTTGCTGACACAGGGGCTGCCCTTCTCAGCCATGCCCACAGCATACAACACAGGTAAGACATGGCCAGGACACAGCTCTGACACAGAGAGACATGGCCAGGACACAGCTCTGACACAGGAGAGACATGGCCAGGACACAGCTCTGACACAGGTGCCAGGGCAGAGCTCTAAGCAGGCAGGACCTGGCAGGGCAGAACTCTGACACAGGACCTGGAAGGGCAGAGCAATAAACAGGCAGGACCTGGCAGGGCAGAGCTCTAAACAGGCAGGACATGGCCAGGACAGAGCTCTAAGGCAGGGCCTGGCAGGGCAGAGCTCTAGTACAGGTGAGACATGGCAAGGGCAGAGCTCTAAGCAGGCAGGACCTGGCAGGGCAGGGCTCTAAGCAGGCAGGACCTGGCAGGGCAGAGCTGTCAGGTGGCTCAGTCACAGAGGGAAATGTGCTGCTGCAGGCACGTGCCTGCTGCTCCCTGAGCAGCTGCAGTGATGCTCGTGCAACTCTCCACTGCACACATGGTTGAGTGCCAGGCTTCCACAGGACTAAAACCAGGGGGAAACTCGTTGTGTAAGTGCTGAGAGCTCACTGGCATGGCCTGCAGGGCTGTGAGGGCTGATGCAGCCCACTGCACTGTGCAAGTGCATGCTAATTACAGCTACACCCATCCCCGGGCTCCCAGAGCTCAGGGGGTGTTGTAATAATGACAACAAGTCCCTCAGAAAGTTGGGGAGGAATGCAAACCAACCTGCTCACAGCCACATTGATTTGGGCTGCTGGATTGAAGTCAGCCTCAGGCGACAGCGACAGTGCACTTGCCCGAGCAGAAGGGTTGTTCATCTGCCACCTGTCAGACCTCCACCAAGACTTTGAGGGCTTGCTGGCTGCCTGTGTAACTCGTTCTGGCTCAGAGAAAAGTACAGAAACGTAAAAAAAAGCTGCTTGTCTGGAAGAACCCAGAAGTGGCACGTTGGATACTCCCTCTCCTAATTAGTAGGTGTAGCCCCGGTGCTGCGTGATGAGGCTCCTCTCCCTGCCTGGCCATGCGGTTTCCCAGCCAGCCTGGAGTCCCCAAAATAGTTTTAATTGAGCCCTGTGCCGCTGCTCAGAGCGGAGGGGCCTGAATTTCAGCTCTCTGGAGTTGTTTTTTCTCCCAGAGCCCTGTGGGGGTGAGCGTGAGGGGCACTGCTGTAGGGTGCAGACTCTGAACCTGGCACTGCTGTCAGAGCTGCCCCGTTAGTTGGGGAGGAATTGTCTTCATTTGTGAAGGGTCTGGAGCACAAGGACCTCAGCCTGGAGAAAAGGAGGCCTGGGGGGACTTTGTCACTTCACAACTCCCTGACAGGAGGGGACAGCCAGGTGGGGTCGGCCTCTGCTCCTGGGTAACAAAGGGCAGGATAAGAAGAAGCAGCCCCAAGTTGTGCCAGGGGGGGTTTAGGTGGGATATTAGGGAAAATTTCTGTGTGGAAAAGGTGTTCAGGCTTTGGAACAGGCTGTCTGAGGCAGTGGTGGTGTCACCATGCCTGGAAGGGCTTAACAGACGTGACTGTGACACTTGGGGACATGGCTTAGTGGTGGCCTTGGCAGTGCTGGGGGAACAATTGGACTCTTGGATGGTCTTGGACACCCTTTCCAGCCTAAATAATTCCATGATTCTGTGATGCTGCAGAGGTGATCATTGTGTGGGGGGTGGAGGGCTGCAGATGCCCAGGGCAAACTGCCAGCCTGGAGCATTGGCACTTGTTCTTCCCAGGCCTCACCTGATAGTTGGGTGGGTATTGCCTGGATCCCTGTGCTGAGCTGCCCTCTGGCCAGAGTTCTGTGCTGGGGTGTCAAACCCAGCTCTGTGGTGTGGGGCAGCTCCAGCTCAAGCCCTGGTGGGGGCTGCAGGGGCAGCCACTGTCACCAGTGAGTGTCAGGAGCTTCCAAACCAGAAGAGCTGGTGCAGGGGGTGGTGTGGAGCAGGGAGCCCAGAGCCAGGACATTGGGTGGGGTGTGCCGGGGCTTTGGCAGCAGTTCAGCAGCAGCACAGCCACCTCTGTGTGTGCTGCTGGGGTGGGGACAGCTGAAACCACGAGACACCCAAAATTAGAGCTAGAATGGGGGAGGAGAGGGTGTGAGGAGGGTTTGCAGGGTGTCTGTGGCAGCCTGACATGGCTGACCAAGGTTTGACCATCTCCTCAAGGAGCAGCACTTCCCTCCCTGATTTTTTTCCACCAGCATTCACACGCTGTGTAAAACCCCCCCGGGTGTGAGGTGCCCCACTGGGATTTTCAAGGGTTCTGCATGGGCAGGCAGTGCCCTGCAAGGGTGGGGGGGAGGTACCGGGGCATGGGGGGGAACAGTGCAGGGCAGGGGATGCCGGGGTGCCCTGGGTGGGGGGGTCACGGTGACAGCTCCGTGTCCCCACGGCGGGCAGGGAGCGCCCCCTGCTGCCACCCGGGACACGGCGCGCGTGGGGTGTCCCAGGCGTGGGTGGGGCTGTCCCAGGTGCGCCCCAGGTACAGGTGAGGGTGCACCAGGTGCAGGTGAGGGTGCCCCAGGTACAGGTGAGGGTGCCCCAGGCACAGGTGAGAGTGCCCCTGGTACAGATGAGGGTGCCCCAGGTGCACGTGAGGGTGCCCCACGTACAGGTGGGGATACCCAGGCACAGGTGAAGGTGCCTTAGGTACAGGTGAGGGTGCCCAGGTACAGGTGGGGATGCCCCATGTACAGGTGGGGATGCCCAGGTACAGGTGGGGATGCCCCAGGTACAGATGAGGGTGCTGCAGGCACAAGTGAGGGTGCCCCAGGTAAGGGAGGGGGATGCCCAGGCACAGGTGAGGGTGACTTAGGTACGGATGAGGGTGCCCCAGGCACACGTGGGGATGCCCAGTACAAGTGAAGGTGCCCCAGACACAGGTGAAGATTCCCCAGGCACAGGTGAGGGTGCCTTCGGTACGGATGAGGGTGCCCCAGGCACACGTGCGGATGCCCAGTACAAGTGAAGGTGCCCCAGACACAGGTGAAGATTCCCCAGGCACAGGTGGGGATGCCCCAGGCACAGGTGAGAGTGCCCCAGGCACAGGTGGGGATGCCCAGGTACAGATGAGGGGGCTGCAGGCACAGGTGAGGGGGCCCCAGACACAGGTGGGGATGCCCAGGCACAGGTAGGGATGCCCCAGACACAGGGGAAGATTCCCCAGGCACAGGTGGGGATGCCCCAGGCACAGGTGAGAGTGCCCCAGGCACAGGTGGGGATGCCCAGGTACAGATGAGGGTGCTGCAGGCACAGGTGAGGGTGCCCCAGACACAGGTGGGGATGCCCAGGCACAGGTAGGGATGCCCCAGACACAGGTGAAGATTCCCCAGGCACAGGTGGGGATGCCCCAGGCACAGGTGAGAGTGCCCCAGGTACAGATGAGAGTGCCCCAGGCACAGGTGAGGGTGCCCCAGGCACAGGTGAGGATGCCCCAGGCACAGGTGAGAGTCCCCCAGGCACAGGTGAGAGTGCCCCAGGCCCAGGTGGGGATGCCCCAGGCACAGGTGAGAGTGCCCCAGGCACAGGTAGGGATGCCCCAGGCCCAGGTGGGGATGCCCAGGCACAGGTGGGTGTCAGCTGCCGGGGTTCTCGAGGGTGCCCCAGGCACAGGTAGGGATGCCCCAGGCACAGGTGAGAGTGCCCCAGGCACAGGTAGGGATGCCCAGGCCCAGGTGGGTGTCAGCTGCCGGGGTTCTCTGCCCCAGCAGGGAGGAGCTGTGTCTGTGCTCTGTGCATTTGTCTGGGGGGCTCTGGGGGGCTCTGGGGCTCTCGTGTGTTCATGGCCCTTCCTGAGGGCAGCCAGGCACGGCTGCATCATGGCCACTGCTGTGCCTGGGGGCAGGGGCACTGCTGGGTGTTGAGGAGGGTGGAGGTCCTGCCAGCAGCTCGTGCCCTGAGGCTGGAAGACAAGTGGAAGTAAGGAGGAGATGGTTTACACTGAGGGGGGTGAGGAGCTGGCACAAAGTGCCCAGAGAAGCTCTGGCTGCCCCATTGCTGGAGGTGTCCAAGGCCAGGTTGAACAGAGACCTGGGATAGTGGAAAGTGTCCCTGCATGTTGGACTAGATGGCCTTTAGATGTGCCTTTGTTGAGGCAGTGTTTGGTCATAGATTGGACTGGATCTGGGTCTCATCTTAGGTCTTTTCCAACCTGATTGGTTCTGTGACTCCAACACAAGCCATGCCCACACATGAGCTGTGTCCTCTGGCCAGCATCCCTGTGCCACTGACACCCCATCCACGGTGTGTTTGTGTCCCCTGTGTGTGCCCATCCTCCCTCAGGGCTCGGGGCGCTGTGGGGGCAGGTGTGACATGGAAGTGACTGCAGGGCTCCCTCCCTTGCAGATTATCAGCTGACAAGCGCTGAGCTCTCCTCGCTGCCGGCCTTCAGCTCACCTGGAGGGCTGTCCCTTGGCAACATCTCTGCCTGGCAGCAGCAGCAGCAGCAGCAACAGCAGCAGCAGCAGCAGCAGCAGCAACAGCAGCAGCAGCAGCAGCAACAACAGCAGCAGCAGCAGCAGCAGCCGCAGCAGCAGCCGCAGCAGCAGCACCTGGTCCCGGTGTCACTAGGAAACTTAATGTGAGTGACACGAGGGGGAAGTGGGGATTGTGAGGGTGCCAGCCCCAGGTGACTGCTCCCTGGGCTCTCCAGACCCCCAGGGCCAGCCCCTGGTGGGTCCTGGGGGGCAGGAGCTGTGTGCCTGTGCACAGCTGGCACTGCTGTCCCCGTGGCTCTGAGGGTGACCCGAGTCCCTGGCTGACATCAGGGCTCTTGGGGATGCTCCCAGAGCTCATCCTGCTGCCTGTCCACAGTGGGATTGATCCCTGCACGCTCCTGGGGGGAGCTGAGAGCAGGCCAGAGGCAGGGTTGGATGGGATGAGTGTTGCAGGGTAAGGTGCCTGGAATTGTGCCCTGCAGGTGTAGAAGAAAGTGGTTTTTAGTATTGCAAAGAAATTGCTTTTCTCCAGGGCAGAAAATGCAGGCACTTGCATCTTAGAGCAGGATTTTTGAAGTGGATCTGCTTTTACTCTGGAGTAAAGCATCCACACACAGAATGACAGTGAAAATAAAGATTTGAGCCACTTGCCCGTGATCACATTGAGGCCATGGGACAAAGAGAGGCAGGAGTTGAAGAGGAGGGATCAATGACTGCCCCAGCCACTGAGCCAAAGACACATTTGCACCATGAAGGAAGGGATGGATGGATGGATGGATGGATGGATGGATGGACGGAGAGATGAAAGGGGATGAATAGAGGACTGGAAGGACAGATGGACAGATGAAGGGCTGGGATGGGTGGGTGGGTGGAGGAATGGATGGATGGACCCGGTTTTTGTGTAGGAATTTAGTGTTTCTTCTCTGCCTGGTGCATGTTTTCCAGGCAGGGCAGGCAGCAGTTTCCTCAGTAGCTGCCAGGACCTCCTGCACCAGTGGGGCCATAGGATGTGTAGAAAGCCTGGACAAAATTTTGTGTTGTAGAGGTTGAGGAGGTTCCCAGTTTTGATCAAAACCTCCTGGTGAGCCATGTGCTGAGTCTGTGCAGCCCAGGGGTGCAGGGGCAGAGCTGTAGGGGCACCCATGCCTTTGGGCCACTGCTGAGGGACAGTGGCTGGGATTGGGGCTGGATCACGGGGTGCTGGGGAAAGAGGAATGCTGCCCACAGGGTCTGACCCCAGCTCTGTGGTGATGTGACTGCACGTGATTCTGAAGTCATAATTCTGTTTATGCATCCACATTAATGATCTAATCCAGGTTTATAACCGTGGGTTCATTTGGCTGTAGAGTGTGCAAGTTCTGAATTCTGTGCACTGGAGGGTAGAAGGCCACCAAAAAGATAATAATGAGAGATTTCCCATTATCTCCTCCTCCATCTTTTTCTCCCCCTTCCTCCCCTTCTGCCCTCCCTTTCCCAACCTCCGGGATGCCCAGACAAGGGAGCCACTTATCCCACACCACCACTTTGACTGTCAACACCAACCCCAACATCAGCATCAAGTCCGAGCCCGTCTCGCCCAACCGGGAGAGGAACACTGCCACCCCGCTCAGCACCTTCCCCCACCAGCCCCGGCATGAGCCCACCGGCCGCTCGCCCGTCGACAGCCTCAGCAGCAACACCAGCTCCTACGAGGGCAGCAGCGAGCGGGACGACCCCGCCCGCCCCGATTTTGGCTCCTCCCTGGGCCTCCTTCGACCCGGCAGCGAGCCCGAGGGGGAGAGCCCCTCCGTAAAGCGCATGCGGTTGGATACCTGGGTCACATAACGGGGTCCCCGCCATCCCTGGGAGCTCCTGGAGGGGCTGGGAAGGGAGGGGGAGGGTGAAACGGGTGATGGGGATGGGGCTGGGGGTGGTGGTGGTGGTGGTTGGGGGGGGGGAATTATCATAAACTGCCTGAGAAATAGCTTTAGGATTTTGTAGGCATTCATTCTAGCGCAGCAGGCGACGCATGCAGCACAAACGGCGCTGGGGAGCGGCCCGGGGTGTGGGGATGGGGGGCTGGAGTGGGGTAGTGTCCTCACCAAAACCAGCAGCCCCTAGGGATGCTCCACACTGGCCAGTAGGACCCTCCTGGGGAGTGGGAATGCAGCCCTGAGGCAGAGCAGCTGCGGCAGGATGGGAGGCAGAGCACCCCAAAATGCTCCTTCCTGGCCATTCCCCTGGGTCCCTGTGCAGGGAGGGGCAGGTCAGACATGAGCCAGCTCTCTGGGAGCTCAAAGGGCTTTGCTAGGCACAGGTTTTCCTCCAGAAGGGTTTTCCTAAACCAGGAAAGGGAGGTGGAGAGCAGCTCGGGGATGCAGCCACATCCACAGCCTGTTTGGGGCTCCTGGAATTGGGAAGCTGCATCAGGAGTAAGAGGCAGATTTTTAAGGCTCAATCCCGTTTGCATGACAAGTGGATGCAGACATCCTTCCTCCCTGAGCAGGGAACTCCACTGTTCCTGACCAGGGTCACTGGAACACTGGAGTTCTCTTTCCCTCACCTCCACCTGGGCACAGCAGGTGTGTGGAGAGGAGATCTTAGTGCTGGTTTTGAGAGCAAGTTGTGGATTTTACCAAACAAAGTCCATCAAAGCATTTTAGAAATGGGTTCCCATTGCACATGGGCCGAAGCTTTAAATGAGGAAATTGGGAAGAAATGTATTTTTTTACTGAAAGATGCAACTGAAGTCATGATCCCAATGAGATTTTGCCTGGAGGTTTCTAGGCCTCAAAAGGCAACAGTGAGCTGTGCAGAAAATCTCCTTGAGCCTTGAGCAGTGATTTAGTGGAAGGGAAGAGGAAATACCGAGGAATTTCCTCATGTTGCCACTTGCTCTGGCAGTTTCCCAGGGATGGCTGTTGGTGCCCTGATCCCAAAAATGCATCAACCTGCTCGTGGCTGGAGGGTTTGGAGGAGAAGGGGCCGTTCCTGGCTGGCACAGCCATTAGGGATGGGCTTTCTCCCTGCAGGTGCTCGTGCTGGTCCCCCAGTCCCTCCCAGCCTGCTGCCCTGTCCCCCTGTGCAGGGCCACCCCAGCCCCACTCAGCCCTGGGCTCGCAGTCCCAAACTGGCACAAAACCTGCCCGGGTGCCACCTTTGCCAGCTGGAGCTTGGCCAGCCTTGGGGGGCTGTGGAGGAGCTGCCTGGGGTTCAGCTCAACCCTGAGACAGAGCAAAGGGAGAGGAGCTGAGTCAGGGTGGGGTTTATGCCCCTCCTGGATCCCTCTGCTGGGTGAGCTCAGCCTTGGGATGGCATAAAAACGTCCCAGGATGAGGGGTTTTACAAACTTTTCCCAACCAAGCATTTATCACAAAGTTTCTAATTGGAAGAAAAAAAAAAAACAAGAAAAAAAAAAGTGCTGATGAGTATTGTGCAATGAATGGGGAGTGGTTGGAGGAGGAGAGGAAACCCTTCAGGAGCTGGGTGAAAATCAGGAGCTGGTTTTGTGTGGACACCTGGTGAAGGGGTCAGGGTGGGTGCTCAGCAGTGCTGGCATTCTGGGTACCCTCACCACCATCCCTGCTCGTGGATCAAGGCACGGAGAGATGTGCCAGATCAAACCCCCCCCTCCAGACCTCGAAAGACCAAATTCCTGCCACAAAGGCTTTTCCACCCAAACGACAGCTTTACCCTTTTCCAACCATACATTTGGAATTCCCTCTCCTGCTCCCGTGCTCCGGGAAGGCTTTGGGTGGGCAAGAGGAGGAAATCCCTGGCAGGTTTTGTGCAGTTGAACCCCCCCGTGTCCCCTCCCAAGCCAACCCAGCGGGTGCCAGGGACAGGCTCGGCTCTCACCTCCGGAATGTCGGCGTCGGAAGCGGATCTGCCTCCCTCCCTCCCTCCCTCATCCCTGCCAGTCCTTGGGGAAGCAGGAGAGATGCTGTGGACCGTGGTCTTCCTCGCCACGCCGGACGTACCTGGACGCGCACCTGAGCTCTTTGCACGGCCTTGCTTTGGAAATTAGGCGGGATAATGACGTCTCATCGCTCTCGTTTTATTGTATTTTTATTTTCTTCTTCTTCTTCTTCACGAAAAACAAAGTCAACCCAACGGACCGGGGTCTGCCCCAGCGGGAGCAGCGTGGCAGCAGGGCCCAGCAGAGCCTCCAGAGACCCCGGGAGGAGGTGACAGCAGAGACCCCCCGGCACTCGACGCCGTCGGTGCGGAGCAACCGTCAGGAGTGGGGGGAAAAAAAACCAAAAAAACCCCCATTTTTGCTCATTAACTTCACGCCCTGACTCCCAATTTCACTCTTCTGCCTGGAAGCTGAGAGGCTGGAAACCACAAAACGCAAGAGACAAAAAACTCTGGGTTAGGCAGATGCAGGTTCAGATCTGCCTGGCGGGGAAGGCGCCGGAGCGGAGCTGCGGCCGCGGCACTCGACGATCCCTGGGCTGGTGCCAGGGGCAGGTACAGCCCTGGGCTGGTGCCAGGGGCAGGTACAGCCCTGGGCTGGTGCCAGGGGCAGGTACAGCCCTGGGCTGGTGCCAGGGGCAGGGACAGCCCTGGGCTGGTGCCAGGGGCAGGTACAGCCCTGGGCTGGTGCTCTGGGCTGGTGGCACGGGCAGGAGCAGCTCTGAGCTGGTACCAGGGGTCGGTACAGCTCTGAGCTGGTGCTCTGGGCTGGTGGCACAGGCAGGTACAGCTCTGAGCTGGTGCCAGGGGCAGGGACAGCTCTGAGCTGGTGCCATGGTCAGGTACAGCTCTGAGCTGGTACCAAGGGCACGTACAGCTCTGAGCTGGTGGCACAGGCAGGTACAGCTCTGGGCTGGTGCCAAGGGCACGTACAGCTCTGAGCTGGTGCCAGGGGCAGGGACAGCCCTGGGCTGGTGCCAGGGGCAGGGACAGCTCTGAGCTGGTGCCAGGGGCAGGTACAGCCCTGGGCTGGTGCCACGGCTCATGGGGAGGTGGGAGTGCCCGGGTCAGACACGGCGTTGGCTTCACGTCGCAGTGAAAGGGGTTTGGGGGCTGTTTGTCGGGGTCTTTGTTGGGGGCTTGGGGTTATTTTATTATTATATTCTATTTTTTTTTTTTTTGTTGTCTGGGTCATTATCCTTTATTTCCCCCTCCAGACTGTAGTATCTGGTAAACTCCTCCTAATTTTCAAAAGACAACGAGAAGAATGACAATCTAAGAAACCAACACCCTCCTTTGTGCTTCTATAAATATGTTTCTGATCTAATTTTATTTCTCGTGCTCATCTGTACTGTTGACAGTTACAATTGTGTATAATTTTTTTTTTTAATTTGGAATTTTTGCGTTGTATAGGGTTTAGTTTTAAAATATATATATATTTTCCATTTTTTAAAAAGGGGTGTTGCAAAAAAAAATTGCACGATTTAAATGACAATAGTTAAAATGCTGCAGTTTTTAGAGATGTGGAAGCAAAATGGAGCTTATTTATTCTCAAAGGCTATAAAGGTGTAAAATGCATGAAGAAAAAAAAAACATTTACAAAAAAAAAAAAGACAAAAAAAGTGTAACCTGAACAAAGTGTAGCGTTAAAGATTTTAAAGGATGACAACAACAAGAAAAAAAGAAAAAAACCAACAAAAAAACAGCTAATATATTGTGTTTGGGCTAGTTTGCTTTTGTTTTTAATTGTTCCTTTTTTGGAGAATGAAATACATTTGTGTATATTTTCATATAAGAAGTATGCACTGAGATGTTTCCAAACTGATATATTCCTTTCTAAACGTGTGGTTACTTACCAAAGTCTGTTTCTGATCTTTACCTTCTAAACTCTCTGCGGATCCTCCAGCCCGCACCTGAGCGCAGGTAAGGCGGGGTGCCAGGGGTGCCAGGGGGCTGAGCCGGGGGGGCTGGCACACGTGGGGGCTGTGACCCCCGGCCTGGGGAGGCTGGTCTTTCCCAGGGCTTGGCAGAGCTGTTTTTTTGGGGTGTTTGTGCCCGTTTTTTGGGGTGTCCGTGCCCGTTTTTGGGGTGTCCGTGCCGCGGTGGGGCTGGCTGGGGTGGGCTGGTGCCAGGAGCAGCGTGGTGAGGGCAGGGGCAGAGCGGGGGGTTCACCCCCGGAGCTGTGCCCAGCGTGTGCAGAGTTTGCTGCAGAGAGGAGGAGGATGGAAGGGAGGGAGGAGGAAGGTCACAGGGCGTGGCTCAGGTGACGCAGCTGCAGGAGCAAGGATGGGGTGGGAAGTCACCTGCCCAGCCCTGGAGGAGATTCGGGGATGGAGCAGGACCCTAAATGATGGATAGAGCCTAAAATGGTGGGAAGGGCACTAAAAGGGGGCCTGAAACACTGCCTGGGTGCAGTGAGGGCGGTGGTGGGTCAGTGGGGGTGGTCCTGCCCGCTCTGGGGGCTGTGGACGTGGTCAGCTGGGCTTGGATGGTCAGCTGAGGTTGGATGGTCAGCTGGGCTTGAGTGGTCACCTGAGGTTTGATGGTCAGCTGAGGTTGGATGGTCAGCTCGAGTTTGATGGTCAGCTGGGCTTGGATGGTCAACTGGGTTCGGGTGGTCAGCTGGATACAAGTGGTCCACTAGATTTGGATGATCAGCTGGGGTTGGATGGTCAACTGAGTTGGATGGTCATCTGTGCTTGGATGGCCAGCTGGGGTTTGATGGTCACCTGAGGTTGGATGGCCAGCTGGGCTTGGATAGTCAGCTGGAGTTTGATGGTCAGCTGGAATTGGATGGTCAGCTGGGGTTTGATGGTCATCTGGGGTCAAGTGGTCATCTGGGCTTGGATGGTCAGCTGGAGTTTGATGGTCAGCTGAGGTTGGATGGTCAGCTGGGCTTGGATGGTCAGCTGGGCTTGAGTGGTCAGCTGGGGTTTGATGGTCAGCTGAGGTTGGATGGTCAGCTGGGCTTGAGTGGTCACCTGAGGTTTGATGGTCAGCTGAGGTTGGATGGTCAGCTGGGGTTGGATGGTCAGCTGAGGTTGGATGGTCAGCTGGAGTTGGATGGTCAGCTGGGCTTGGATGGTCAGCTGGGTTCAGGTGGTCAGCTGGATTCAGGTGGTCCACTGGAGTTGGATGGTCAGCTGAGGTTGGATGGTCAACTGGGCTTGGATGGTCAGCTGGGCTTGGATGGTCAGCTGGGTTCAGGTGGTCAGCTGGATACAAGTGGTCCACTAGAGTTGGATGATCAGCTGGGGTTGGATGGTCAACTGAGTAGGATGGTCATCTGTGCTTGGATGGCCAGCTGGGGTTTGATGGTCACCTGAGGTTGGATGGCCAGCTGGGCTTGGATAGTCAGCTGGAGTTTGATGGTCAGCTGGAATTGGATGGTCAGCTGGGCTTGAGTGGTCAGCTGGAGTTTGATGGTCAGCTGGGCTTGGATGGTCAGCTGGGGTTTGATGGTCAGCTGGGCTCAGGTGGTCAGCTGGGCTCAGATGGTCAGTTGGATTCAGGTGGTCAGCTGGGCTCAGGTGGTCAGCACAGGGACAGGGTGACCCCTGCTCAGGGGTTTTCAGGCTGGCAGAGCCTGGCTGTGCAGGAGGTTGGGATGAGGGGCTTGGTGCTGGGGGCAGGCTGGCAGTGCTTGTGGTGCTGTCAGGGGCACCCGAGCCCCCGCGGGGGTTGTGGCTGTGGCAGGGAGACTCTGGGGGTCCCTTGGGGAGGGGGTTGTTGCTGTGGGGTGGTTGAGGCCCCTGCCAGGGTTGGGGTCTGGGGACAGTGGAAGTGTTAAATCCAGAGCTGGTGGTGATGGGCCACGTGTGGGCCTGGGGTAAACTGGGGCAAAGAGAAAGAACACGTTTCCTTTTCCCTTTTTCACTTCCCTCTTCCTCTCCAGAATAACTTCAGCAAACCGAGGAAAAAGCAAATTCACAAAAACCCCCCGCCTTTTCCTTGAGAATTTCACTTTTTACACTTTTTTCCTCCCCTAGTGTTGCTCGGTTGGGGGATCCCCCCCATCCCTTTGGGTGTCAGTTGGGATGTTTGTCACCAGTTCTGGGGACAGGGCTGTGAGCTGCTGCTGCCAGAGCTTGGCTGGGGGTGAGGGGCACTTGGTGCTCTGGGGGTCCCCTCTGCCCTCCTGGGGGGAGCATCCCTCAGGAGGGGAAGGAGCATCTTCCCAGCCACTCCTCAGCTCTGGCTGCCACATCCTGCCTCCCACCTCTCCGGCTGGGGGCACAATTTGGGGATGTCTGGGGGATTTTCACCACCCAAAGTGGGGAAAATTCATCCCCATCCGCCTCTCCCTGAGCTGTGGGAGAGTGTCTAACAGTGGGCTTCAGCTGAAGGTTTGCTCTGGTTTCCCTTTCCCGTGTTCATCCTTTTATTCCACCTTCACTTTTATCTTTTTGGGGTTTTTTTCTCTTTTCCTTTCCACAAAAAAACCCAAGCAGACCCATAAACCAAGTATTATGTTTTCACTACCTCCATCCATCACCCTTCCTTGTCCAATGCAGGAAGCCACACTCGGGATGTAAGAGGGCCTTTCCCCCTTTGTTTTCCCCTTTCCCCTGGTGATTTTCTCTCCCTTCTGTCCCTCTGCCCCTCCTCTCTCTGGTCTCTCACCTGTAGTATTTTACCTGGCTACTGTAACTGTAAATAGCGAGTTTCAATCTGTTAGCAATGGTAACAGTACAGAAAACTGGTTTTGGTTTTCTCTTTTTTTTTTTTTTTTTGGTTGTATTGATATGAAATGAGATTATATTTTTGTCAGAGTATATTGTAATAATACTGACTTTGGACATGGCCGAGTTGTACAGCGATTTCTTGTTTAACCCTCTTGGCTCTTCCCGTGCACCCCTCCCCGGCCTCCCTGCTCCCCAAATTTCCATGTCCCGCATCCTGGGCAGGAGCAGCCCCTTGGAAATTTGCAGTTCCAGGGTTGCTTTTCCACAGGGTTCCCACACGCCGGCGTGTCCCCCTGGCTCCGGGGGGTCTGCAACCCCCGGGGGTGATTTAGCGAGCCTTGGAGATGGGGAGGAGCCGGCTGAGCATCCACAGGGATGCTCTGGAGCTCTGCCACGCTCCGGGCAGCAATTCAGGACCCTGGAGCAGTGAGCGGGCTCCTTCCACTCCCCTCTCCTCCCTGGCCGGGGGAAAACCCCGGTTCCTTCCCAGCTCCGTTCTCTGGAGCTGTTTGGGATGTGCTTGACTTGAGCCAGAAGAGGGTGGTGTGGCTCAGGCTGCGCCAGGAGCGGCTCCAGACGGGCTGGGAGGTTTTTGGGGAGTGAGGATTGAGATATCCCCCAGGCTGGGAAGGTTTTTGGGGAGTGAGGGTTGAGATATCCCCCAGGCTGGGAAGGTTTTGGGGAGTGAGGATTGAGATATCCCCTAAAATGGGAAGGTTTTTGGGGAGTGAGGATTGAGATATCCCCCAGGCTGGGAAGGTTTTGGGGAGTGAGGGTTGAGATATCCCCTAAAATGGGAAGGTTTTGGGGAGTGAGGATTGAGATATCCCCCAGGCTGGGAAGGTTTTGGGGAGTGAGGATTGAGATATCCCCTAAAATGGGAAGGTTTTTGGGGAGTGAGGATTGAGATATCCCCCAGGCTGGGAAGGTTTTTGGGGACTGAAGGATTGGCAATATCCCCTAAGATGGGAAAGCTTTGGGGGAACTGAGGGATTTGTAATATCCCCTAGGATGGGAAGGTTTTCAGAACTGAGGGATTCACAATGTCCCCCAGGCTGGGAAGGTTTTTTGGAACTGAGGGATTGAAAATATCCCCTAAAATGGGAAGGTTTTGGGGGAACTGAGGGATTGACATTGTCCCCCAGGCTGTGAGGGTTTTTTGGAACTGAGGGATTGACAATATCCCCTAAAATGGGAAGGTTTTCAGAACTGAGGGATTGACAATATCCCCTAAAATGGGAAGGTTTTTTTGGGGAAGTGAGGGATTTGTAATATCCCCTAGGATGGAAAGGTTTTCAGAACTGAGGGATTCACAATATCCCCTAAGATGGGAAGGTTTTCAGGAACTGGGATTTGCAATATCCCCTCACCCTGGGAAGGTTTTTTGGGACTGAGGGGTTGAAATATCCCCCAGACTGGGAAGGATTTTGGGACTGAAGGATTTGCAATATCCCCCAGACTGGGAAGGTTTTTTGGGACTGAAGGATTTGCAGTATCCCCATCCCTGGGTGGGGATGGGTGGCTGTGTCTCCCCCCTGCCCCCCACATCCACCCCGGGCCAGGGGGAGCCCCAGCATCGTGCTGGGGGATCAGAGAAGGATTTCTTCACTTCAGATGGGTTTTCAGTGAGGTTTTCGTGCTGGTGCCCCTGAGACTGGCCCAGCTCCTCCCTCTGCAGGCCTGCACCCACCTCAGGCTGCAGGAGCACCCCCAGCCGCTCTGCTGTGACCACGCTGGGCTGTCCCCAGGGGCTCCTGGCATCCCCAAGGCCGAGGGGTGCAGCAGCCCACCCTGGGCCACGACTCCCCTCCTGCCCAGGGCTCTTCCCAAGCATTTGCAGGCAGATGAGGTGCTGGAGAAGTGGGGACCGTGGTGGCCCAGTGCTGCTCGCTCTGCTGTCCCCCAGAGCCCCCGGGGCAGCTCCTGCTTCTCCCCCATCCCCTTTGCTCCCCGTAGCTCAGTTAAGCAGGTAGGTGTTAGCAAACTCTGCAAAAAAAAACTTTTGTAAAATAGAATAGACCCTTTAAATGATGCACTAAAATAAAAAAAAAATAAAAAAAAATCATGGGTGCCCCCTGTCAGCTTCTCTGCGTGGTGGTTTGTTGGATGTCCCCGCTCAGCCCAGCACAGGCAGCTCTGCATCCTCCCCCAGGGTGCTGCACAGGTAGAAACAAAGCAGGACGTGCACTTCCCCCCGAGGAGTTTTATTTATTGTTTCGAGAAGCGATTTAAAAGGGAAGAAAAAAAAAAAAAAAGAAAAAAGAAAAAAAAAAAAAAGATGAGGCTCTTTCTGTGCCACGCTGTGGCAGCTCTGCCCTTTCAGCCTTTGCCTTGAGCCCTTTGGTTCTTTTCCCTGAGCCTTGATCCCCATCCTCAGCCAAGGGCCC